AGCCCCAAAAAGCCCCAAGACGGGCCAAAAGTGCCCCAAGAGGCCCCAAAGACAGTCCAAGAGAACCCCGAATCGGCGAACGGTCTGTCCAAGACGCCTTGACGGCCTCCAGACAGCCCAAGAGGCCTGCAAAGCGCCCCTGAGAGGCCTCCAGGAGCTTTCTCACAGGAGCCCCAAGAGGCATAATTCATGAATTTTCCATACGTTTTTGACAGATTTTGGCGTTCTCGCCTCTTCCGCTTCCCGACGCGCCAAGACGGCCCAAGAGGCCCCCAAGATCGCCCGAGACGGCCCAAGAGGCCTCCAAGAGGGTCCCGTAACGGCCGAAGAGGGCTCCAAGACGGCCCAAGACGCCTCCAAGACGGCCCAAGAGGCCCCCAAGACGGCTCCACCCGAACGGACATTTCGAGCTCCCAGCCCCAAGAGGCCCCGAAGAAGCCCCAAGAGGCCCCAAGAGGCCCCCAAGGGCCCCCCAAACTGCTCCAAGACAGCCCAGGAGAGCCCCAAATTGCCCAGGAGGCCTCCAAGAGTGCCTCGAGTACGTCCCCGCAGCAGCCCCCCCCGCCAAACACTACCCCCCGCCCCCCTCGGGCCCCCTCCCGCCGCCCCCCGCAAAGGGACCCTGCACGGCTCAAAGTCAAGACGGCCACAGGAGCGCCACAGGCCTGTCCCAATAAACCTCTGGCCCTCCTCTTTGTCTTCCTCCTCCTCCCTCCTCCTCCTCCTCCTCGCTCCTCCTCCTCTTCCTCCTCCTCCTCCTCCTCCTCACTTCCTCCTCCTACCTCCTCCTCCTCCTCCTCCCTCCTCCCCCCCCTCTGCTCCCCCTCCTCCTGCTCTCCTCTGCCTCCTTCTCCTCCTCTTGCTTCTCCTCCACATCCTTCTCCCCCCTCCTCCTCTCTCACCCACCTCCTCCACCCTGCCCCCCCCTCGTTTTCATCTTCGTCGCTCTCAGGGTCGGCGGCAACGGCCGTAAGGCCTTCGCAATGTAGAAAATGGGGGGAAGACGAAAACCCAGAACATGTGTGACCATCTAGGGCATCCTTGGAGTTGTGTGTATTTATCTGTGTGTCCCAGGGCACTTCCAAATTACAGCAAGTGTTTGAACGGCCCGGCGTCCGCCCAGACGGCCGCTCCTCTTTTCCCCAACTTACCGTTCTCGTGCGCTCGTTACATGCGTTGCGATTGTGGGGGATCCCGCAGGCGCTGGCTGTGGGTCACATTGCCCCAAGGGGAAGAGTCGTGAAAATCTGTCGCTGCCGGGAACGCTGCTCTCTCACCTGAGCGAGGGCGGGTGATCCCCATTAATGGAGGCCACCATTATACACAATCGGGCAGAGGTGTGACATCGAGGTCGTTTCGGGGAGGGTGTCCGAATGTTTTTCGTGCTTGTTGGATGTTCTTGTGCATCCTGGGGGAGGGTACCCTTGAATGTTCTTCGTTTTGGCTTAAGTCGGGCATGTCCCTTTACAGGAAGGATATTCAAAAATAGTAAATCAATGGTCAGGGGACGATGATGTTGAGTGTTTTTTAGCATTTTGTCGGACTACTGTTGGCTATTTTTATTTGTTCGTCCAAGTTCCGCCTGTAGGGGGGCATGACCGACCTAAGTTTTGGCTGGCGGGAGTCTCATGTTCTAGAAGAATTTCCTCTCGGGGAACGAAGAAAGACATAAACATAAAAACTCGGAGGTCCGCACGAATTTCTCGCATCCGCGCTGGACCACCCTGGCGGCGCCTCCGGCGCCGCCCCCGGCGCGCTCCGCGCGCGATCGGAGAAATCCGCGCTGACCTCCGAGTTTTTATGTTTATGGCATTCTTCGTTCCCCTGTCTTCTGTCCCAGATCACTCTCTATAATGCTGGGCTAACATTCGGGTTCGCATGTAGAGGTCTATGGTGGCCCAGGCGACGGTGCCGTGCGCACGTCGGGAATCTGGGGCTTTGGAGGCACTGGGGGGCCCCCTCTCTCAGGACTTCGGAGGGCCTCGTGGAGGTGCAGAGGCCTCGCGCAGGCGTCCGGCGGAGGCTGTCGCGAGCCTCCAGAGGCTTACGGGCTTCGGCACGACCGAAACGGGCATGCGGAAGGAACCGATGACTGAAAAGGCTAAGCAGGACGCGCCGTCGGTGTCGCCGCGAACGGTGCTCGTTCGAAGCAATTGTCGCCTGCCCAACAGCGGACCCCTAGATGCGGCCGAACGACATACGATCCGTCCGCCTCTTCCTCCTCCTCCTCACCCTCCTCCTCTTTCTCCTCCTCCCCCTGCCGGTTTCGGCTCTTCCGCACCAGGCCTCGGGCGTGGCGTCGGGCGGGGCAGGGCAGGCCGCCCGCCTCCCTGCGGCTTCTCGTCCTCGTTCCCTCCCGCCCATTCCTCCGCCTCCGCCTCCTCCTCCTCCTCCTCCTCCTCCTCCTAGGCTGCTTGTGTCAGCGGTCGACTGCGGCGTGGGAGAGTGGAGCCGAAAGGCTTCCTCATGGGACCCACCCGCACCAGTACGCGTGCACAGAGATGGCCACTCCGACGCAATCACAGGTGGATCGATGACATGGCACGTTTCACCCACGCGGCTTTTGGAGAGGGATTGGCACACAGTTAGTCCGAATAGTCTTCTGGGGGTTCACAGGGAGGAACACTGTGTGAAACGGCATCGGCAACGCCATGATGAGTGAATCGACCAGCCAGCTTTTCCGCTCTCCCCCGCTACCCAGCATGAGATGTTTTTTTTTGTTCCTTGTCGGCGCCGCGGCGCCACTGCCTAGCCCCAAGCAGGGCCGTCCCGCGGGACGAACAGGCGCAGTGTGCAAGGTCCAGAGTTCTTCCCTTCCGCTTGCCCCATGTGGCCACAGGACCACGGCCCAAGAGGGCCTCAGACTTTGATGGCGTGGGTGATTGCGGTCGACTAGAATTTGGCATGCTCACCTTCTGACCTCTTCGAGGTGCATTTTTTTTGATTATGGTTCTCATTTCCCCTCCTCGTTCTCTCTCTCCATCCTCCCCCCTCTCTCAGTCTCCTCCGTTCAGGCGAGCTCACAAACATCGGGAAGCCTGCAGGAAGTTTCCCGAAAGTCGTCGGAAGCTGGGGGGAGGCTTCAAAAGCCATACGACGACGACGTAAACGACGTAAACGACGACGACGACGAGGACGACGACGACGTGAACGAAATGATACCGGAGAAAAGCCCCAATCATAGTCTTGTCAGGGCTATAGGGCTATGGGGCTATAGGGCTATAGGGCTATAGGGCTATAAGGCTATGGGGCTATAGGGCTATTAGGGCTATAGGGCAATATGGCTATAGGGCTATAGAGCTAAGGGCTATAGGGCTATAGGGCTATAGGGCTATAAGGCTATCAGGCTATAAGGCTATCAGGCTATAGAGCTACAGGGCTACCGGGCACCCGGGCACCCAGGCACACGGGCACTTGGATGTGCAGCCGAAATCGGCGGCGCAGCTAAACTAACCATATGAATCCGCTAGGACCCCTACAGAGGCAAGCTCTGATTGGGGAATCAACGACGACGTAAAAACGACGACGACGTCGTAAACGACGTGAACGACGACGACGACGTAAACGACGTAAACGACGACGACGACGACGGCGGCCCGCAGGGCTGCGCGTCCTGGACGTGGCTCCTCGCCCGCCCCGGGAGCGGCTGCGGCGCTCGCGCGGGAGGGGCGGCGCGCGGCGGGGCAGAGGAGGGGCGGACGGCTGGGGCGCCGCGGCAGGCCCCACGGTCCCGATTTTTAGTCATAAGGTGTTATAATTATTCGCATTGCGACTATGATTATGATTCTTTCATATATATATGTATATCGAGCAAACAAATCTTTTCTTCTGTGTTTGGGATGAGCGTTTCGGACGGGACAAGGACGAGGACACATCCGTTTCAGAGCGTTCCGCAACGCTCTCAGAGCGTTCCGGAGCGCTCTGAGAAAGCTGCGGCGCCCGAGACATCCTTCGGAGGCGCCCGAACTCAGAGATTCTCGATTTATCCTCCCTCGAATGTATATCCTCATCCTGGCTTGGTCTTCGTGTTCGTGGAGCGCTTTTCGCGCGTGGGCGTGAATTTCAGAATTTTGGGAATGTCCCGAGCGAAACGGCCAAAAGGAAAATCCGGGCTTTAATTAATCGCGTCAGAGCTCAACTCCCTCGGAGAGGTGCTTATGATGATACTCATAACGCGTGAATGGGCTCATACGACTTGTCACTCGACCGCCCACCGTGAACGATGACCTGCTCCCTAGCTGTGTATTTGGCGAGCAGATTGTACGCCTGGGGTGAACGCCTCAAGCCAAAGCCCAACTTTGACCAGGATCTTCCCTCTCCGTGCAGCTGTCGCGCAGTTCTCGAATCCTCCGCCACTGCGAGCAGGACGTTTCATGCGACAGCTTCATCATTTTGGACCACTGCCGCCTTCCCAAGCAGCAGTTCCAACGCTGGAGGGCGGATGTGCTCGGCTCCGAGGCGATCGCTACATCAAGCAATGCCCTTATACCCTGGCTCAAGTTTAGTTGTCACACCTATTGGATAAACGGCGGGTGGTGCGACGGTGATAACCGTTTGGTACGGAGGAGGGGTGGCTAGGGAAGCTGCAATGGGAGAATGAGGATGGGCGTCGGAGGATGAGGAGGCGGAGGAGGAGGAGGAGGAGGAGGTGGTATGATGATGCTGATGATGATGATGATGTTGATGATGATGATGATGCTGATGATCATGATGCTGATGATGAGAAGAGGGGGCCGCGGGGAGACATGGGCAGGGAGAGGAGGGAACACATGAGGATGAGGAGGAGGCGGAGGAGGAGGAGGAGGAGGATGATGAGAAGTGGGAGGAGGAAGGGGGTGGTTGGAGGAGGAGGACGGGACGGGTGATGCGACGGCATCGACCACGTCCCCACCTACGTACGACGACGGAGGCCGCCATGGTTCACGAGCAGAGACGGGAGCGAGCACCACAACGGCTCTCACGACGACGACGACGGCGTCCGTAACTCGCGAAATGTCCAGCTGGTCTCGAGGCGCAGGCGCGCGCTCCTCTCTCGGTGCCTCTGCGCGGCGTGTGCCGCGCCGTGCCAAGACGGCATGGCGGATGCCGAGCAGAGCGTGGCGCTCAACTTCGGCGGCGACACGAGCATCCAGGCAGGGCTCGTTTCGATTCCTCCGAGTCGATTCGATTCGACTTCGATGGCTGCCGATTCCGATTCGATTCGATCTGGGATTCCAATTTGGGCTCCGATTCTTTATTGGACGCATGCTGGCCCGCCGATTCCTGCCGATTCGACTTTTCCAGAGTCGGCTGCCGATTTCCGCCGATTCGAATCATTTCGATCGCCGATCCGATTTATCGATTCGATTCTGGGCTCTCCTTTGCAGGTGCCAGCGGGCGCGCAGATCATCGTGTCCATCGACAAGGATTCGTTTTCGTCCCCGGGCGACAGCATCGCGAAGGCACCACCTCTTTTCACATGTCCGCTCCACTGGCTTCCCCTGTCGCTCGTCGTCCCTTGAGGGCGGGTCGGGCATGGGCGATGCAGCCTGCTCCGCCGGACTGTTCTGCGTTTCCTACGAGGTGAGTTCGGGGCGCCGGATTGCGGGGCGCCGGAGGGCAGTTTGCCGGGATGACACGCACGTAGCAGAGTGATATGACAGTGAGTTGTTTTCGAGTTAAGCGCGGGCTGGCTTCGGGTGGGGTTGGGGTGCATGCGGCGCAGACGTCTGGTTTGAACTACGGTTTTTGGTGTATCAGAGGCAACTACAAATTGACCGTGACGCAGTTTTGAGGTTCAATGGCTATCACCAAGGCGCGCGTGTGATAGTCATCACACGCCAAATAATTGAATGTTTGACGCTTCGCGTATCCTCGCTAGCAGCTTGCAGTGCGCCGTGCAGTTCAGCTTCACCCGTCAGCTTGCAGCTGCCTGAGTGGGCCGGCCGGCCGCGCCTGTCTTGCTAATTCGCCTAGTTCGCGTCCCGGACTTTGCTTTCGCCGCCTGACCGTCGTCTCGTGGCCGCGACCAAAACAAGTATCCTCGCTAGCCGATGACTGTTGCCGCCTGGCGTGGTTGCACCCTTCCTGCTCGTTTTCCAATTTCCCAGGGTGCCGTCTGTACTACTTCGGGGTCCACCTGCGCGTCACCGCTACCTTCTACTGTCACCCGAGGGCCCTCTCCGCGCCAATTTGGCTGCGTCTTCTACGTTGGCACAGCGGTGTTTTCGTTCGGTGTGGCGTCGGTCCACCATCATCCGCCTCCGTCCTCTTCGGCGTTTTCCTCCTGTTTTTGGGCCGCTTCATGCGTTTCTTGTTCGCCAGGTTTGCGGCATTCGCGTGGTCTTCGCCAACGGCACGCGTTTCGGCTGCTGACCGCCTAGTCGGTATCGCGGCTCTTCGCGCGCCGCCGCCTGCACCGCTTTTCACTTCGCTGCCGGCGCGGCCCGCCCTAGCACGCTCGGCGTTCGACTCGTTTCGCGCGCCCGCGAACCTACAAGTATCCCCGCTAGCCCATCCATAAACGATCGTCATACGATTTGTTTTGACCAGGGAAGTGTAGAAGCATCCAGGCCATCGCGGCTTTTCTGTTCCGCGAGTTCCGTGGAGGCTTCTTTGGAGGTGATTGCGGCCCATCTTGACGCCACGCTGGAAGCCTTGTCGGGCCCTCTTGGCGACCTCTTGGGGCTCTTTGTGTGTGTGTGTGGGGGGGGGGGGGGACTGGCGCCTTCAGGGGGTGATCTTGGGCCCCATGGTTTAAAACGGGGGCCCCCCTTGAAGGCTGAACCGCTGCATCGTGGGACCCTCACGAGGCGCTCTTGGGCGCTTCTTGGGCGCTCCTGGAACTTTGCTGGGGTTCTCTTGGGCCCCCAGTTGGGGCATCCTTTTGCAATCTTGGGGCCATTTCGAGGCCTCCAACCCATCGGAAACGAAAAGGCGAGCAGGCAAACACCTATGGTTTCCCTTTTGCTTGTGACTGATGTTTGCCTCTTGGTTTGTGCAGTGGAAGGCTCGAAGGGCATTCGGAACCATAGTTTGGCTGTCTTGGAACACCTTGGACCATCTTGGAAACCATTTTGGGCCATCTTACGCTATGTTGAACCATCTTGGTGGCCATTGCGCTTTCGGAGGCACTCTTGGCGCCATCTTGGGCCATGGTGGGCGCTCCAACAACCTCGCCCCCCGCCCGTCCAGACCCAGGGGGGCAGGGAAGGGGTACCCCCCTGCCCGGACGGGGGAAAAAAGGAGGTTTCGAAGAGGGGAACAAACGCACTCGTTATACCACCACGGCCCGTAAGTCCGGTGGCATTACGATGAATCCACGGCGCCGATCAGGGGGGGGGGACACGTGGGGTGGCAGTGACCGGTGAACTCTACCATCGCCCTGGCGTCTTTTCACCGAGTGGATGGCGGCAGCTTTCACGTGGTTGTGAATGTGGTTCGGAACACATCAGGTGTCACAACCATCGCAGCTATTTCCTGTGGTAGCGGCCATGTAGCCGTTGTTCCGCTGTGGTGTAG